TATTTCTGTATCTTTCCTATTATGAATAACGTGGCAATGAACATGGAGGTCATTATTGAGAGAGGAAGGGTAAAAGAAGGAAGTTAACAATGGAAAGTAGGGTTGATATACTTTCTATGTAAGAATGAATATAGAATTTTTAAACCTGTTGAAATCACCATCAGAAGGGGACTAAGATGGAAAGGAGAAAAATGGAGGGATGAGCCAATTCTGTTATAACATGTACAATTCAGTTTTCTTAACTGCTAGTGCTTGTCATTGGATCAACCATGGACTCTAGTCCAGAAGTACTCGGTAATTTGAGTCCTTGTTATTGTCTACCAATTTGTGCATTACACACTGAAGACTGTGTGATGTAGGGTGCAATCGTTGGCTATTCATTTATTCAAACCTATGTTAGAGACTCTACTGTAGTTCGTGAACACCAGAAGGATTATTCTTGCCATTAGGGAGAGGAAGGAGATCATCTCTGCTCTTTAGGACTAAGGCAAGAGGATGCAGGGTCAAATCCACAGCTGCTCCACCTGTGACCTCTTGTTCTCTCACTCTGCTTTACTTACAGTTATGATCATCCACTCCATTTCATCTTGGCTCAAAGCACTGTTGCTGACAAGGCTCAGACTCGCTTCCTCACTCTGCTCCCCGCCTCATTTATTCAATCTTTTCTTCCCTCAGTTCCGTTTATCCTGTGGCCACGTTAACAAATATTTGTTTAAACTCTACCCTTTCTACATCCTGTGTACATAACAACTAACAAAACGTGCTTATACACAGTCATGGCCTTTGAGAAACAGTTTTATGGTCAAAGAGTTATGTGTGATGAAGAAATCCTACTCCTAAAAGCAGAAATATGATGTTTAGGGTTTTTTTTTTTTTCCTCCCAAACTCCTAACAAGCTCTTGTGCATAATGCTGAAGTAACAGTTACACGTTTAGAGCAACAGGCAGAAGATCGAAGTTAGAAATTCTTCCTAATCACTTCATGAGTCTTTTGTGTTTTGGGCCACACTGGGGTTTGAACTCAGGGCCTTACACTTGCAGGGCAGTCGCTCTTACCACTTGAGCCAGTCCATCAGCCCATGAGTTTTCTGTATTTTCATTCAAAATGAAAGAACCAGGTGGGGGCACAGCTCCACGGTAGGGAATTTACCTAGGAGGCCCTGGGTTTCAATTCCAGCACTGCAAAAAGCAAAACAAAACCTAAAGTGCTGGTGGTTCTGACCCAGTCTTGCATTTCTGTAAAGCAGAGTTGATAGTAACAACATTATCTGGGTACAAGTGGAAAATTTGTGAATAAATTGGTAGTTAAAGGAGTAACAGCAGCACAACTTCCAGTCTGGTGGATTACTGATGCTTTCATGCCTTCACAAGAAGGAAGTATGAACAGAGTGAGACCTGTTATCCTTCAGTCAACATGCACATAGAGGCGAGGATGATGGGCCCTGGACCCTTCGGCTTGCAGTGTTCATGCCTCTTCATGGGGCGGGGAAGAGAAACGATTCAAGGAGGGGGCAAGCTCCACCTGTGTTACTGGTTGGTTGACAAGTATTTGTACCTGGTCTGCTCCATTTATCAAGCCTCCTTTCCCAGCACACTACACAGAGGGCCACCTCCCATGCTTTTTTGTGGTACACACCCTTATTTGCACAATTGTACTTCACAGGTTATTAACGTTAGTCTGACTTACTGAATTTCTCAGAAATGCTCAGTGGATGCTTAGTATGAAATCGCTCATGGAATACAGCTCTGCTTCCTACTCCCAGCCTGTGGAGGCCCCTCTGGAAAATTCTAATTCCTATTGAGCTCAAAGGGACTGAAGTTCCTCAGTAGGGGACTCATGGCTTATATTCAACATTGTGCTGAAACAAAGCTAAGCTGATCAAATCTTGGACAAGTCTCTGTTGCTTTAGCATTAGGCAAATTTTGAAGGACTACAGGCTATGGAGATCTCTCTCTCTCTCTCTCTCTCTCTCTCTGTGTTTATATTTTATCTTCCTTTATTTAGCCACAGCAAGCAGTATTGTGTTGTACTGATTACCCTAAGGATTACAAAATCCATCCTTAACTTTTTGCAGTCCACTATAATTATTAATATAAGCCATAAACAGGAGAAATTAGCAACCTTATATGCCCTTTCTCACGTGCATTATGGTTATTTCATTTAATGATTCTGCATATATTATGAACCCTACAAGTCGACATTATGATTTTAGTCTTTAAACACTATATAGTTTTCAAAGAACTTTGCAAGTATACTTGGTATCTACTGTTTCTGATACTCTTTGTTAGTTTCTCAGAGCCTGAGTTTCTAATTGCTACCATTTCTTTTAGCCTTAGGAATTTTCCTTAGCATTCCTTATACTGCAGATCTGCTGGTGACAAATTCTCTTAGAGTTCTTTTATCTGAATAGATCTTTATTTTGTCACTCTTCTTGAGTGGTCTTTTCCCTGAATATAGAATTCTGACTCGATGTTTATTCTTTTGCCACTTTAAAGATTATGTTCGAATTTTCTTTTCTCCTTCATGACTTCCATTAGAATAACAACTCCCTGAATATGCTCATGGCCTGACCTTTTGAACCTGTGAAAATGTTAAATTAAATGACATTTTGGTTAAGGAAGGAGCGGATATACAAGAGTAGTCCCATAAGATTATGTCACCTACAGACCTCGTAGCATCTTAGTGTGTATATCTGCACTCTGTTTTACATAGAGATGAAATCACCTAAAGATAAATTGCGAATAACATATCCCCAACGTTAGGTCATGCACGACTCTACCAAAAAGAGTCCTGTGAGGAGCAACTATGTGTCTTTACTATTTACACACTTGTTCACGGAGTTAGTAAAGCCATGGGGTAGAGTGTATGCACAATTTTAAGACTTTTATGTGCAGTGTGCAAGAATGCTTTTTCCCACATTCTTAAAATGGTATTACCATTTTTAATGTTTTCAAAAGTAATGGTTAGAATGATAACTTATTGTCATTAATTTTTTTCCTAAAGAGAGGTTGTGTGTAAATTTTAGGGTGTGTTTTGATTGGGGGAAGGGTCTCAGGGGCTAAACTCAGAGTCTAATGCATGTTAAGCATATAGAGTTATACTGCTAGGTCCCACCTTTTACTTACTAATTGTTTAATTATGACCTTTAAGTATATTTCTATTGCCTTTTTCTTTATTTGAAAAGGTTCTTTATATAATTAAAATCACCAATGCTTTGTCTTTTAGCCCATCACTGCTGAGCAACACTGTCACTTAGTAATGAGTTTCATAGCTTTTGAGGCAGAGAGAACAAAGTTCAAGTCCTGCCTCCACCCATTACTGGCTGCTTGACTTTGGCACATAAGTTAACCAGGCCTACAGATTTTTCATCCACAAAATCGCCTTAGCATGCTAAAGCTTGTAAGATTAACATTGTGAAAGACAGTGAGCATAAAACACTTGTGCCTGCTTAGTCCAGGGCCTGGAAATAGTAAATGCTTGCTCTATGCTTGCTATGATTGTGGTTATTTTTTGTCCTGTCTTCTTTTCCATGCTGAGAGAGTTCTTCTCCACCCCAAGGTTATGTAACTATTTATCTACATTGTCTTTAGGAATTTTTTTTTGGTGGTACTGGGGTTTGAACTCAGGCCTTCATGCTTGCTTAGTAGGCACTCAACCACTTGAGCCCCTCAGCCAGCCCTATTTTGTGTTGGATATTTGTAAGATAGAGTCTCATGAACTATTTGCCCAGGCTGGCATCCAACTGTCATCCTCCTGTTCTCTGCTTCCGGAGCAGCTAGGATTACAGGCAGTGAGCCACCCGTGCCTGGCTGGGGCAGTACTGAGTTTTGAACTCAGGGCCTTGTACCTACTAGGCAGGTGCTCTTCCACTTGAGCCAGGCTCCCAGCTTCAAATTCAGTATGTAAGACTGGCCTGGAGCTAATAATCCTGCTTCTGAGGGCTGGGATTACAGGTGTGACCACATGCCTGGTTTATTATATTTTTTAAATGTACATTTTAATACTCTACATCACACTTCTATCTTACTCATCCTATTCTAACCCTTCGTCCTATACTTTCTTTTTCTCTTCTAGACAAATTTAAATGTCAGTTGGTATTTTTATTGGGCTGGTATAGAATGTCAGTCCAAGAAAACACGAAAATTTCAAGCTTTCAATTTGAGAACATGGTATGTATCTTCATTTATTTAAACTTTCTTTCATGATTCTCAGAAAGTTTTGAGGTTTTTTAATTCTGTCTGCTACTGGTTGATCCATTTCTTTTAGTGATTTTACACTGACTTCAGTTATATAGCAACTCTGATTATGTGTTGTTTTACCTCATTTTCACTGGTTTTTTAGAAAGTAAATATGTTCTAAGATTTAATATGTAGTGCATAGGAATATATCTGCAGATATTGATTTTCGCATTTTTCTTTTATAATCTCATTTAATTATGGGAAACATCCAGCATAAATATTGAACTGTTCAATTCCAGACTGAAAAGATTCCCCCCCCCACTCTCTGTAAAGTTGATAGATACTATTTCACTCCCATTTTGCAGATTAGGAAACTGGGGTACACAGGAGCTAAGTAATTTGCTTCAGTCGGCGTTAGGGTTCAAGCCCACGCAGTGTGGCCCTGCCGGGTGAAATGACCAGTTGCGGAGACAAAACAATGAACCAGAGCGCCATGGTCCCTGCTAATCTCCCCGGTGTCACCCAGACACCACCGGCTCCACCCCGAATTCCCGCTCGGAGGCGCTGTTGTCATGCGCTGCAGAGCCGCGGAGTCCAAGTTGCTTGGCGGCGTCACCAGGTGTCCCCAGGCTGTGGCAGCCAAGTGCACAGTGGGTGTCCGGCCGGGGGGAGGGGGGAGCGGGCAGCGCGGCGGCGAAGGAGCAGTCGGGATGCGGAGGGGGCGCGGGAGGGCCGTGCGGGGACATAAAAAGTGGAGCGGGCTGGCGCTGCCCGCGGGCGGCCGGGGCGGTGGCCGGGCGGCGGTGACGCGCCCCGGGGACCATGAGGGGCAATGGTAGCGCGCTGCTCAACGCCTCGCAGCAGGCGCCGGGCGGCGGGGAGGGCGGCCGGCCTCGACCCTCGTGGCTGGCCTCCACGCTCGCCTTCATCCTCATCTTCACCATCGTGGTGGACATCCTGGGCAACCTCCTGGTCATCCTGTCGGTGTATCGGAACAAGAAGCTGAGGAACGCAGGTAGGGGGGGTCCCGGGACCCATGGGCTGCGGGGCCGCCCGATGTCACCCAGTGCGATGTCACCCAGCGCCAGGCCCCTGTGCGACACCCTGCAGAACGCAGGTCCCACAGCCCCGAGGAAAGTTCACAGAAGTCTTTTCCATAAAATCTAGGGACTTCAGATCATTTTTCCTCAGGGCTGTCAGTTCACTTTTTCTTTAGCCTGCCCATCCTTTTAAAATGCCTTTTCACAAAACAATCAGAAGTCCCTAACAGTAGAAAAAAACTTGCCCAGAGAGCCTCTCTTTACTTTGGGGACTTCTCTTTACTCTAGTTTTCTATTTCTGGAACTTATTAGGGGGAGAGACATTGCCTGCAGGTTTAGAAAGCTCCTCAGGACATCCTTTCAAATCCCATCTAGAAACTCATCTGTTGCTTGGTTTTACATATAAATTAGTTTTCCAACTTTGCTAAAATAGGAGAAAATACATAAGCTGGCAAGGTGAGAGTGTAACTGTTAGTTTTGTTGTTTCTCACTTACAAGCTTACAATTGGGAAAAAACAATAACATACCTCCTAAACATGCTTTGGAAAGCCCTTTTACCCCTGCAAGTCAACAAGTTTGTGTTTTAAAAACAGACGGTGTAGTAAAGAATACAGTTACATCTCGTGTAGGACCAGAGCTAATTTTGTGCCTGAGTTAAACTTCCTTTATCCTTGAGCAGGATTGAAGTAGTGGATAGTTTCTCCCCTAGCCCATGATGTTCACACTTCTAACTGGTGTTCAGATGCCTGATTTCCTGTCCTTTATTTGGAGACAAACTTTTGGGAGAACAAGTGGAATAGGGAAGATGCTGTGCACTTAAATACTCACACAGAGTGGTGTTTTTGTTGTAAACCAGACCATTTATAAAAGCTCCAATTTTGTTCAGCTCCTTTTGGGGAGATCTCCCCTTCTAGTTTTTGCTTTCTATAATGCTTGGGGCAGGACATAGTTTAAGAATTACTTAATAAGCCCCTAATAATAAAAATTCAATTTAAATTAGTAAATTGAATAACCTCATATCACAGTTGATTGAAGGTAGGGCAATTCTGCCTCCAAAATGGGGCTAAGACCAGGGTGTAGCTCAGTGGTAGAGTGTTTGTCAGCATGCTGTCTAGAATCCCAGAGGCCGGGGTTTGATCTCCAGCACAGGAAAAAAAAAGTGTGTGGGGATGGGGCTCATTCCTTCCTAGACATAAAAGCAGCTCTCAGCTCTCCCTGGGCCAGATGTGGTTGTGAGCACTAACAGAGTGAATCTTTGGGCCAGCCCAATGATGAGGTGCCATTGTTACCCACCTTACAGAGGAGGACCCCACTGTAGGGCACATGGGTCTTTCAGACTACATGCTGGGCAGGCTTTGGGAACTTTGAATCCTGTAGCATCCTTCATCTGAAAAATCCACACTCATGGGATAATTCTGCTTCTGGTGCTTGATGAAAAGTTCTCCTGCCCACTGCATTGCTTACTTGCTAGGTATTACATTGCTACAGGAGACTGGGAGGTCCTCAGTGAGTTCTAATCTGCAAGTTTTAATCATTGGGACTTTTTGTTCAAATGGAGCCCTGTTGGAGTTTAAACTATTTGAGGCTTTCTAAAAGAGATGGCAATTTGGAACAGTGACAGATACAGCTGATTCAAATAGAAGTTTGGGGATGCTTATTAAAAGTTCTGATGATTTGTTCAGTCCTTCTATTTCAGTTACATTTATTTTCATTATTAAATGAAAAGATGGAAAAAGAGAATGGAAAGGATTCTAAGGCATCTAAACTTTGAAATAGTTCTTTCTTTTGGAAGAACTGGTATGATTTTAGAGTTATTTCTCCCCTCAAGGGAGTATGTTGGTCTTTGACTTCCTAGGGAAGAAATTTACACTGTTGAACCATCTGTAGGCTGAGACACTGACCGATCAGAGCAGACACGGCTCTGTCAATCACGAGGCTCTTAAGTGTTGGCAGAATATTTGCTCTGCTTCTGTCCACATTTTGATAACTAGAGCCAATACTACCACATATGTCTTCAGAGTAAATTTCGTACATAATGAAGTGGAACTCTAGGGTTTTATCCTTGCTCTCTGCCTTCTGATTTGAGAAATCACTCGTGATCCAAGCCTCATTTTCCACCATTTGTCCGAGAGAGATAATATCTGATTGTTTTAGCCATATACAATGTCGAATTGTAATTGTTGCAATTACTTAATGAAATGATGCATATGAACATACTTTGGAAAAGATGATAATGTATGTTTGGGTTTTGTTGTTGTTTATCACCAGGAGGTTGAGGGGGAGAAGTGAGAGGGTGATCTAACCAATGTACAATATAAACCTAATTGGAATTCACTATGAATCTCTCCCTGTGTAACAAATATATCCTAATTTTAAAAAATTTATAATAAAAATAAATCAGTGCGGTGCAGACTTAGGATTTGTGCAATTTTCTACATGTACATTATACTTAAATGAAGCAACTTTTTGCTAAAGAAAATATAAAGCAAGAATACAGTGTTACTGGCTTCTGCTCAGTGATCTGGCAACCTAACTTGTGTAGGATATAGACAAAAAAAAAGGGAAAATTAGCAAAAGTGACAGACCCATAGTCAGTTTGTTCTAACATAGTATTCCATACTTTATATTGGGGTCTAGCTCCCAATATAATTTACTATTAGCAGTAAATTAGGAAAAAGATTGGCACACTTAAAGAAATAGCACATGGTGGCAAAGGGCATCATTAAAAAAGACTCGTATCTTTATCCCAAGCTAGCAAAAACACTGTGTCTTTCTTATTATCTCTTATGTTTTCTCTTCAACAAAATCGGAGAAGAAGAGGGCAAAACAGGTTCTGCCTGGAAGCAGGGGTTTGTGGGGGTGGGGAGTGGGGGGAGGTGACACAAACAATGTGTACGCATGTAAGTAAATGTAAAAACAATAAATAAAAGGAGAAAGAAAAAGACTCTTTAAAGGCAGGTCTGAAAAACTGAACAAGAATCACGTTTTGTGGGTGTTCCATGAAGAAGCAGAAGAACCTGCTCACCTTTGGGCTCTTCTCAAACCCTACAGCACAATGAGCTATTTATTAATTACGACCCTGGCCAATCCTGCACACAGTTCTGCTTTAGAAGATAGGGCCATAAGGCATTTTTAGAAAGATAACCATGTAAAGAAATTTATTATTGTTATTTAGTCTGGGTACAGGGCAAGATAAATAAAACATCAAAAATTGTAAAAAAATTGTCCCCAGAATGATTCTGTAACCAGATGGTTGACACTGTGCTATGGCACTCTTACACTTGCTTCTTTTGGTTCTACAGGGACTATGGTCTATATCTGCCCTGCATTATCTCTCATAAACAAGGGAGAGAAATTGAACCTTGGTTTAAGAGCTCTGTATTCAACTTTGAATGCACCAAGGCTATTTTAAGATATTTATAGACTCTAGGTATGCCTATTAAAAAGTCTTTATTTTTAAACTGAATCATAATTTACACATACTAAATTACATACAATTTAAGTATACAGCTTAATGTATTCTTACATATGTATGTACGCATGTGGCCAGCATCTTTCAGAGAAACTTGGAAACGGGTGTGGAGAGATGATGGTGCTACTATTTGCTACTTGACAGAACTTACGCCTACCCTAGGGACTGAAAACTAATCCTTTTGACTCTTCCCATCCAGGAGCAAATTGTTTCCTGAGGTGGGTTTGACTTTTAGCTTGTATCCGTTGCTCAGGAAAATGTGGGCTGAGACTCACTGCCTTCTCGAGTAACTTTAACCCAAATACACCTTTAGCTTGTCACCATTCCAGCCTCTGTCCCACTGAGATACCTTGATTGAGCCCTTAGCCATTCTGTGTGCCCTACCTGGCTTTCCTGTCTCTTGTCACCTTTCCTTCCCATTTGTTCCTTTCTCTTCCCTTATTTTTCTTTCCTTCTCACTCATCTGTTTCTTAAGCCTTCATCTCATACTTTATTCACCTTAATTGGATTCTATCTAGGTAGAAACACTTGTATCTCTGTTACCTAATGAATTTATATGCATATTATATTCTACAAGTTCATCTACAAATTTCTTAAAATAATACTTTATGTGATGTTTTGGCTCTTACATGAGTCCATGAAACTGGGTAGACTAACAGTGTGGCCAAAATAGTACACAGGGTTGCTGAGTCACCTGGGACCCGTGAGCCCCCGGAAGCAACCTACCTCAATCTGAATTCTGGGCCCCTTGGTGTTCTGTGAGAAAAGGACAGAGTTAGCTGGGCCTGTAATCTTAACTACTCAGGAGAAAGAGATCAGGAGGATCACGGTTCGAAGCCAGCCCAGCAAATAATTTGAGAGCCCTTATCTCAAAAAACCCCATCACAAAATAGGGCTGGTGGCATGGTTCAAGGTGTAGGCCCTGAGTTCAGGCCCCAGTACTGAAGGAAAAAAAAAAAAAAAAGAAAACGGCAGAGTGGTATCAGAGCCAGGGGAATGCTTCACTTACTGTCTCAGAAATATCAGGAGAGGGCTCAGAAAAAAGACAAATGATGAAAGATGGATTTTATGCAAAGATGGGGTAAAACAAGGCTAGTTAGCCCTACACATCCTAGGACTCTGTATCCACTGATTCAACCAAAATCAGAAACATTTGAAAAAACTTCATACACATTGAATACATTTAGACTTTTTTGGTCACTAGTCCTTAAACAGTAACCATTTACATTGGTTCTTGTTTTTATTTTTTGACAAGGGTCTTGAATTGGTGGGCTCAAGTGATCTCCCACCTCAGCCTTCGAGGAGTAGCTAGGACTACAGATATGTACCACCATGCCTGGCTTACCATTTCTATTTTATTAGGTATTATAAGTAATCCAGAGATGATTTCAAACATGCAGAAGAATGTGGGTAGTTTTTATACGAATACCATGCATTTGATATAAGGGACTTGCACATCTTTGTATTTGTGTATTCACAGGGGTTCTGGAACCAATCAGGTAC